GTGGTGTATTTACATGTATTTGAACATGTATATTTGGTAATGTTCATGTATTTGAACATGTATATTTGGTATTATGTTTTGTTTCATCATCATCAGTCTACAATAAGTCAGTCTTGTAAAGATTTTAGGAACCATGACTGGGGAACCTATATAACCCTACATACACTGTGTTCCTCAGGAGAGGGTCCGCTATCTCCAGTTCTCGTCAGACATGATAGTGGCTTGGGAACCTGAAATCCTATTCTGTCTCCCATCCAGGCCAGGGGCCCACTCCCCACCGCCCTCCCAACCCCCTCTTAAGATCCGCCATATTATGTAGTTTCGGGAACTGATGGTCTAACAGCACAGTCCTTCCCCAGCCCCTGTCCAATATTTGAAATTTGTTCTTTGTTTAATTATTTCTAGCATATGTCTGTAGTGCTTTTAGTATCTTTGACCTCTAAAGAACTTTGTTGTGCAACAGGCAGCAACACTGTTTCCGTCAGCCAATTCACACAGCAAATTACAATGAGTCATCTCTAATTCAAACTTTTTACATTATAGTGTGTGTGTGCGTGCGTGTATGTATGAGCTTGTTTGTAATACCTTGTGGGGACCATTTTCCTGACAGATACTACGTTGTGGGGACCTACTGCTCCTTGTGGGGACCGAAGCCTGGTCCCCACAAGGGGAGACCCTGTTTTGGGTCAGGGGTCAGATTTAGGACTAAGGTGTGAATTCAGTTCTGATTAGGGTTAGGATATGGGTAAGGTTTAGGCTGTAGAAATGAATGGAAGTCAATGGAAAGTCTCCACAAAGATAGCTACGCAAAAATGTGTGTGTGTGTGTGTGTGTGTGTGTGTGTGTGTGTGTGTGTGTGTATTTCTGTTGTGTTGTTTTTGTGCCAACATGCCATTAGGACCGTAAATACCTGCCATCTCGCTATGCTAACCCCAGGGGAATTGGAAGCGGACTCTGTCGAGGGTTTGTAAACATTATTATTCATCAACTGTGAATTATATTTTTTTTTTTAAATGCGTGTTAAGGGAAATTAATTTTTCTGTTTTTGGCTGTTGTTCTCAATATTGTTCCTTTTCCGGCCTATTGAAGTTTCAGAAGCTTCTAACATTTTTAAAGCGTGAGCCCGTCGAGATTTGTTTCCGAAAGCAGTGACTTTTTCTTTCAGGACATTCTGAATGTGTTTATTACTATGAGCCCCAAATGATGAGTGACGGAACATGAAATAACGAAGTCGACAACAACAGTTTTCAGGCTCTTTGATCGACTGCAACACAGCATAAACACTCCCACACACCCCAGTTCGTACCCAGAGTCATGAGTTTCCTTCGCTAGCCACAAATGAGGCGTTCGTGCGACAGTCGTCCCTGTCAGTCTCAGAGGTTCTCGCAGCGTCTCCTGTGCGTGTGGCAGCTTGCCTGCAGCCCCTGTTGCGGGATGAAAGCCAAGTGGTGGAGCTGCGTGTTGGCGCTGCTCTGCATGCCTGCCGAGGTGATGCCGAACACCCGGCCAGGGGAGTTTGTTTACGCTCGAGTGAAGTGGGAACGGTTGGGAATCTGACGAAGGTTAATGGCTCAGATTTATCTTTCGGTGTGGTGTTGCAGCTGTTGCATGCTTCATGGTTCGATGCTGAAACAGTTTTCATCAACGTGCACCAGCTGCTACTTTCTGTATTATGTTGCATTTGCACGTTGTCTTGGAGTTTGCTGTAATATTTTATCTTATATCAAATCATAACGTGTTTTAATTGGGATTCTCTGAACAACCCAAAGTTATGCATGATTGTCAAGTGGAAGAAAATTATGCATGTTTGTTTTTAGCAGGTATAAAATGGTAATATGCATTTGTATTCAGTTCACCTTACTTTGATACCCATAAAAAATTAGAACAACCACTTTGTCTTGAAATGTTACAAAATAATAAAGCACAATTTGAACATCTAACTTCATCAGGGAAACAGCCAAGGTAACTCTGGAGGACCTGCAGAGATGCAGAACTCATTTAATAGAGTCTGATGAGATGAAAACTGTTTTGTGGCTCACGCAACAAATGTAAGCTTTATAAAAAAAAATATATCTATATATCTATAAGATGTTTAATCTTTGCAACAAGTCATGCAGGGGACATCACAGACATTTGGAAATAGGTGTTCTGGGTCTTAAAAGATCGAATTTGAACTTTTTCTCTTTTGTGGCAAAAAAAAAACAAAAAAAAAAACTATCTGCGCATCACTTCTCAAGACGTGACACTGACAGCAGAACCACAACCGTAAATGGACAACAAGAGCTACAAGATCAAGTTATATTCATGTGTTAAAAAAATGGAGCTACAAGCCACAACAGAGGCTAAATGTCATTGCAAGGCTAAATATCACTGCAAGACATGAATACTGAAGTCCAAAGACGCTGTTTTCGCAAGAATGGTCAACAATTGCAGTTTCTATTTATGCAAAGCGTTAGAGAGTCCAACCCCAAAAGACTTGCAGCTAAAATTAAAGTTGTTCTATAAGTACTGACTCAGAGCGAGTGCATGCAAACGCACACCAGACTTTTCTTTGTCATTTTTTAAAGATCATTTCTAAAATCTTTAGCAAGGCAGTGTATTTGGTCCTCCTTTTTTCTTTTTTTTTTTTGTCTTTTCATATCCAAAGAGTTCAGATGTACACCAGAAGGTTTGTAATGGCTGAACTTGCATGAGTGCATGAAATGTTATAAAATATCATTACTTTGAGTGGGCCTGTCACAATAACCAATAAATCAATTAATCACATGATCATTTAAAACAAGCTCAATAATTTAAATTGCCCTGAGTTATTTTCCTCTTTTCTTCTAACCCTAACTTCTGGGACAATTTATCGTCCAACTAAATTTGTTATCATGACAGGCTGAGACTTTCATCTCAGCCTGTCATGATAGGCTGAGATGAAAGTTGAGCTGAGACTTTCACCTTTTTTTTATAAATTTACAGAAATTTTTTTTACACATCACTGTACGCCTTTTTATATATATATATATATATATATATATATATATACATATATATATATATATATATATATATATATATATATATATATATAACCCACTAACTGTCTCTTCCTAAATGTTTAGATGTCAGTCCATGAGGTGTCCCCATGACTGATAAGGGATTAAAACCATTAATCCATTGACACCATGATGTTGACTTAGTCTCTAACAGTTCACCTCTTTCTCTCTGGCAGCTCCCCACAGACCCTTGACCATTTCCAATGTGTGGATCAATTCGTCACTTGAGATCAAATGCTCTGCACCCCAACGAAACCCTATTGGCCTCTCTCTAAAACGGCGCTTCCTTGGAGATGAGCAGATTCTGTACCTCCACTTTGACAATGAATTTCCCAAGAACACTACAACTAATACATTTGAAAACAGAATTAGCATAACCAAAGAGCAGCTGGATGAAGGAGTCAGGTATAAGTTTAAGCTGTCCCTTCTGGAGCTGAAAGACACAGACTTGTATTACTGTATTTGGGACTACATTGAAGAATCATACAATAACTTTAACTTGGAGAGCGATGGGATTGTCATCATTGTCAGAGGTGAGAGGAAATGTGCTGTTTACTCACATCAGACAAATTGCAACGTTACATATTATTCTTTATGATTTTTTTATGAACTCTCGTCGATGAAATGTTTGATGCAAAGAAACTTGACTTAAAATGCTTGACTTATTTCCTCACAGAGGGCGGCCCTGAGAAAGCATGCAGCGTCCGCACCGTAGATCTGACCCTGATCTGCCTGAGCATCGTGGCATTTACCAGCATATTTCTGATGTTCATCTGCCTGATGATCGTGAGGTGCAGGAGGGTACGTTCGACCTGCATCAGATGAGAGTTTGAAACTGTGTTCATAGTAATCGGACCATCTTCGTCTTCCAACAGTTTAAGAAGAACTTCACGCCTTTCAGAGGTTACGCCCCTCCCTTGCCTCCGAGACCCTCACGGCCTTCACAACCCCCCAGACCCAACCAGCCTCGGAACATCTACATGCATCAGCAGCAGACTGTCGATCACTGCCCCTATATGATGACATCCACACACGACTATGGCATCTTTGGCAATCTGTGATGCTAAGCGCTGATACGAACTGATGATAAAATCAAATTTTTGCAGCAAGGGCAGCTGAAAAGCACTCTGGCTGGAAATAGTTAGCGGAACTGGTTAGCTTTATGCAGTGCCTTTCACTTCCTTGACATCTAATTTACCGTTTTTGTCTGCAGAAATGTGTCTCAGCTACCACATCCTGGATGAAGCGAGAATGTACAGGTGTGTGTGCGTGTGTGTGTGTTTGTGTGTGAAAGAGCATGCTTTGTTTGTGATGGAAATCTGCAAAGTTAGCTATGTTTCCATTTCTGCTTGTTGTGCAGGTTTCCTTGACCCATTAAGAATTCAAATGTACTTCAGACTCTCATGCAATTATTTTTATCCTGTGTATATAATGTGTATTTTTACTTGTTTTAATATGTGCAATAAATGAAAAATGTTCAAAATCATGCATTTGTCTTGAAGACTCCTGGAGTCCATGCTTTTTTAAGTTTCACTGCACATCTGTGCTTTGATCAGGTTTATTGTAAAAATAATTAAGCAATCTGCTTTGAGGGAAAATTTTACTGAGAAGCAAGCATCAACTGGAGGAGACTATGATCAAGAATGAAAATTATGCTTAATTTTAATAGCAAAAATCTGAAAAGACATGGAGTTCCACCTTAGATCACAGTTATGTACTTGGTTGTGCTGGTCTGTCACATAGAATCTGAAATAAACACATTGAGGTTTGTGGTTGGGTTGTGACAAAAAAATGTATAGATTTGAAAACTTTGCCACTACACGAATGAATTAATCTACACTATATCTGAATCTCCTGAGTTTCGCATCAAAACAGTCTGTGGCAGATAAAATCATGTCCTTCTGAAGCAACAATGATAAAAATAACTTCCGTCTTTATTTGTGCATTCCATTCCTACAGGGAGGTTGGAATTCAACTCAGTAAAATCAACTAAAAGGTTTCCTAAAAAAGTAATATTTAGAAATTGTGCGATTAGTTTAAAAGTCGCAGCTCACAGCCTTAAAATCAAATATGGCTGCCATGCATAGTTAGTGAAAGTTCAGGTGAAAATACTGGGTGATTTGTATCCCATTAAATCAGAGGCACATCTAACACTGTGCCACATGGAGTTGTGTTTCAGTGATTCTTGAGAACAGGGACAAAATGGGTTTTAATTTTCCCTTTTTTTATTATTATTATTTCTCAACCTTATGTATGCAAATATGACAACTAATGTTTAGGAAATGTAAA